ACATTCAGACTACAAAAGAACCTACATTTACACCGACTTTACCAAAATCATCCAGGACTATAGGATGAGCTTATCAAGAAATATTACAAATGAGTTAAACTTGATTTGCCACTGATACTTTCAACTGTGCACCAATCTCATCCTCTGTTTAAATTACCTAAAGTAGTATTATCTTGCACTTTTCCAAGTTATCAGGCCACGTTACAACTAAGGTCTCAACTTTGAGCAAATCAACCCAAGTCAGGTAAGCGAGCTAACAGAAACAGTGTCAAAATTGCCTAAGCATAACTTCACACATTTACAATCCAACACTAATTAAGTAACCCAAAAATCAAGACTATCTGTGTCTTAGGCAAATCCTGGTATTATTTACAACAAAAAAGTATGGCTGTCTGACAACTAAATAGTTGATTCGTTTATCTGTGAATGTAGATAATTATCTATAATCCAGCTCTAGTATCTAACAAGTATTTACTAAGCATATGCTTTACAGCAGGCCTTGTACATGACTCTACAGCCAATGCCCCAATTCTTTTATTTCATGGAAGTAAACTTAATCAGCCACTTATTTGTAATAAGGCTTAGTGTGTTGCCTGCTATATTTCACTGATTTTAGTTATCCCCACACCTCTTTTCTCTACTATTAATGTAAAAACCTATTTTAGAAAGGAAAATTTTAAGCACAGAAAAGTATAGTGAATCCCATACACCTTACCATCAAGCATCAACCATGCAAAGCTCAAACCCACTGCCTCTGAGTCAACTGCAACTCATAGCCTTACCCATTAAGACATAGGAAATATTTTATATATAACCTCACCCTGATTTTTAGAGCAAATCCCAGACACAGTGTTCCATTGTTAACCATTTTAACAATTACATTGTTCTCTATATGATAAAAACTATTGTAAACATATCACAATAAATCATTATATCTAAAAATGAATAATTGCATATCAAATATCCAGTAAATATTCACATTGCAAACAGGAAACAAGTGGAGGTTTCTGGCTTTTGTTTTAATCCCCTGGATGTAACAATGAAGCAGTATGTCACATGACGTGAAGGTAGCTCTAATAACTCAGCAGATAAAAGCTACAGAACAGCAGGCCAAGAAATTAGTGGAACAAAGTGAGAAGCTCAACTATGAGAAAAAGAGATCGCAAGTGCTAACTCCACGATTTGAGGATCAAGATGAAAGAAGAGCTGGTTACATTTGTAATTTTTATAAAAGCTGGAGACATAAGATTTAAAAAATTAATAAAGTAAGGTATTAGAGATGAGATCAAAAGTGCCAAGTGGGAGGGTGGAGGGAAGCTGGGGTACAAAGGGGGAACCAATCACAAGGATCTACATATAACCCCCTCCCTGGGGGATGGACAACAGCAAAG